TCAAGCCTCGCAGAAGACTCAAGAGACGCAAAAGACTCAAGAGATGCAGAAGACTCAAGCCTCGCAGCAGACTCAAGCCTCACAGAAGACTCAAGCCTCGCAGCAGACTCAAGACACACAAAACACTCAAGCCTCGCAGAAGATTAAAACCTTGTAGCAGACTCAAGAGACGCAAAAGTCTCAAGTCACACAACAGACTCAAGACATGCAACAGACTCAAGCCTCGCAGCAGACACAAGCCTCACAGCAGACTCAAGACACGCCGAAGACTCAAGCCTCACAGCAGACTCAAGACACGCCGAAGACTCAAGCCTCACAGTAGACTCAAGAGACGCAAAAGACTCAAGACACATGCCATGACTGATAGAACAGAGCCTAATGCAGCTTTCACACACAAACACAAGATTTAACACACAACTTTGTGGAAACAAAAGCAGATTTAAAATCCTATGGGAACCACTTTTTACCCACACTACAGCACTGATGTCAACAGAAACATGAAAACACTGTCACAGTCTCACACACACACAGCCTGCTCACACACACACACACGGCCTACTCTCACACACACACACACACACAGCCTGCTCACACACACACACACACACAGCCTGCTCACACACACACACACGGCCTACTCTCACACACACACACACACACAGCCTGCTCACACACACACACACACACACACACACACACAGCCTGCTCACACACACACACACACACAGCCTGCTCACACACACACACACACACACACACACACACACAGCCTACTCTCTCACACACACACACACACACAGCCTGCTCACACACACACGGCCTGCTCACACACACACACACACACACACACAGCCTGCTCACACACACACACACAGCCTGCTCACACACACACGCGCATACACTTACACACACACACACACACACACACACACACATACACACACACACACACACACACACACACAGAGAGGAGAGGCAGGTGCAGCATCACCACTGACACTTGTGTTGTTATTTTTTGAAGTGCAATTTTCTTGTTTCTTTGTCAGATGGTTTTGTTTAGAATGTGACAAATGTACCAGTTTCCAAATGGGTCAAAAAAAAATAAATAAAAAAATCACTCTAAATCCTAATATTTAGATCTCATGAAGAGTGGACATCTTTGAGTCTGCACCAGAAGAACGGCTTTTAGTGACAGACGGAGGGAGCGAGAAGGAAACCAACCAAGGACAGAGGAGCCGAGGAGAAAGGAGACAAGGAGAGAGGAGAGAATAAGAAAGGAGACGAGGAAACAAGGAGACGTACAAGGAGAGAGATAATAAGGGAGATAAGGGGTCATTAGGAGAGGAGGAGAGGAGAGGAGGAGGAGAGAGGAGGTATGAGAGGAGAGGAGGAGAGAAGAGGAGGAGGAGAGAGGAGGTATGAGAGGAGAGGAGGTATGAGAGGAGAGGAGGAGGAGAGAGGAGGTATGAGAGGAGAGGAGGAGAGGAGGTGGGAAACTCATCTCAGTGTCCGTAAAACTATGTGTATATTTTTCTTAAAATGTGTAAACGGAGAGATCCAGTAGTTGTGGTAGATGACATGAATGTTTTGTGCTTGTGGCTTGTTTCTTGTCTTGAACCTGCGTACGGGACGACAGTCTATCAGCCTGGACGACAAACTCACATGTACAGCTGCACTCACACATGTGGAGCAATGTGCACTGTCCCATAGTGAAGAAATACACCTGAACATAAACAGAGGAGGAGGAGGAGACTGTGTGTGGACATTTGAAGAGCCACACCATAAAGTGTCTTATATTTAAAATAAAACAATTATCAATAAATAATTGATATAACACTATGAAATAAAAGTCAGTAAAGTCAGTTTCACTCAACAAGTATCAAATCTACTGTACACCCTGCTGAAAAAGACCAGACTCAAAATACCTTAAGAATGTCTTCACTATGAGGCCAGCGTAAATAAGTCAATAAATAAAAAAAATAATGAATAAATAAACAAAACAAACAAAGCAGTGTGTTCAACACTATCGAATCCTACAAGTATGACCAAGAAAATCAAAATGGAGAATGAAGTAAATACAGAGCAGTGTGTTTATGCCGGTGGAGCTGAAATCAGAGGGAGACGTCCTGAATCCAGGAAAATAAAGATCCTCACACACACACACTGTAAATCCTTCAGAGCATCACTGAGGAGGAGGCTCACAGGTTTGGTTTATATGATTAAACTCTATTTTAGCAAGAAGTCAAAGTTGGCACACTTTAAACCTGAACTGAAGCACAAGAGACTTGTTCTACAAACATGGCTCTTTCATTTTCAACAGCTCCAAACTGAAACATCAAGATTCATGTTTGGACATTTGAATTACGTCCAAGTGCCTTTTTACTGCCTGAAATCTGCCAAACGCGCCTCCATTTTAGAATCATTCCATGAGTGAAGCAGGTACACAAATACGGCAGCCCACAAGGGACATGCTTTCTCCTCCTCCTCTTTCTCCTCCACTTCCTTCTCCTCCTCCTCCTCTTCCTCTTCCTTCTCTTTGTCTTCCTCCTCCGCTTCCTTCTCCTCTTCCTCTCTGGGTCAGCTGTTTGAAAAACCGGGACATCACGGAACAATGACAAATGTCCTACTCCAAAGCCCCAAAGCCCAGGAATTATTCACCATCAGGAGCCAGCAGCTCCTCTCCTAGACCAGACCAGGACCAGACCAGGACCAGGACCAGACTATAGGACCAAAGCAGGACCAGACCAGGAGAAGACCAGGACCAGACCAGACTAGGACCAGATCAGGACCAGACCAGGCCAGACCAGGACCAGACCAGGACCAGACCAGGACCAGACCAGGACCAGACCAGGACCAGACCAGGACCAGAGCAGGACCAGATGGAGTAGAAGAGGTGGAAAGGGGAAAAGTCAAAGCACCAACACAATCACTTCATAAGTGTAAATGTCTGAGAAGTATTCCAATTAAATTTGTGATTTAATAATGTGATTCTGTTTAAAGTTCACATCTTAAACACATTCAGAACAAATGACAAAAAGACTGAAATCTGAATTGACAAACTCATACAAGAATCCTATTTCAGAACATGTTTGTACAGATGGAAACCTGCAGGGTTAGATGTTTCTACGGAGAATAGGACAGGAGATGTTTGTGGAGCAGATGATGGTACTTTAAAAATGCAGATAATTTACAAAAACTACATTCAAATGGTGATTCAGAATGGATTGCAGCCGCAGCTGAAGTCATTGTGAAGTGGAGCGTGGCACACAGGGCTGTGTACTTTTTAGTTTTTCACTTAAACAATACTTAAACAATAGCTGCTTTTTAGTGCAGGTATTGAATGAAGCCAAAGTCCTGTTTCCCTCACAGAAGTGTTCATCACATCAGCTCAGACACAACGTCTACTACTGCTCCCGCATCTACAACTCTGACTCTGTATCGCTGATAAAAACACAGTGGTGAAATATATATATATATATATATATATATATATATATATATATATATATATATATATATATATATATATATATATATATATATATATATATACGTTTAACAAAGCTCAAAGTTGGACACAAGTATTTCCTGTGATGAACACAGTGTGAGTGTGATACGTATTCTCCCTAATGCTTCTATGAACTCCGGAGACTCCACAGGCTCAGACCCCTGGGGAGGCCCTCAGGTGGGAGACCAATCATCTCTAATCGCTACAATAATGTCTACATTGAAGAAGGATCTGTGGTGATATTTAAGATCACGCTGAAATAAAAGAAAGTATCATTATTGTGTGGGGAGGACGGTCTTTTGTAAAAAGTGGTGCAGTACAGCACGAGACCCACAGGAGCTCTGGAGCCGAGGGACATGGACAGTTCCACTACAGTTTTGTAGACAGTTTTGCATGTGTTTTCAATATAGACCTTTAGTCTAGTATTTGATGAATAGTCTGAATAACAATATGTTTAACCCTAAACCCTGCACTTAGTAAAACTGTAAAGCCAAAGCTCAGGTGATGTTCCGTGGAGTCAGGATTTATTCTGAACTGTAGATTTCATTTACACTGTGTTGTTTTATTTCTAACATTTTATTCCACATTTACGTGTCCAACACTCGTTCGGCCTACGTGTGTGGTTAAAGGGAGAGCGCGCCTCGGCCGTAGCCCCGCGTCCTCGTGCGTAATGACCGTGCATAATGAGCGACAGCCAGTTTAACGGGACTCGAGTGTGAAGTTGGCAGGTTCTGACTGTAAGCGAAGAAAAAATGAATATTTCATCTGCGGGGCCTTTTCACACATTTTCGTAATTCCAGTTTAACGTGTCCGTGCGCAGTACGCGTTAACTCCATGAGACAGCCGTGCGCGCGCGGCTGTGCAGGTCATAGTCACGAGGAGAATCATATTTGTTGACACTCTTCCTCCGACCGCGCATCAATACCGGGGATCACGTTCGCTCCGTGTCTCCTGTGAGGCCTCACGGGCCCGGCCTGCGCTGCGCCGTTTACCGCGTCTACAGCGACAACACCGCGGACTTTGTCAGGAGGAAAAAATTAGATTATAAAAATATGAGATGCGGTAAAATGTATAAATCCCACAATAAAAATAATGACTATCCCCGTGATGGCATGTGATGATGAAGAGGAGGAAAAGCGGTACCTTCGGACAGAACCAGGCGTAGACGTTTCTTTTCTCTTTTACTTCACTTAAGAAAGTTACACAAAATGTGGCAAATGCTTTGACAATAAATAATAAATAATCATCAATCTTGTTGCACGGGACCAAACGAACATGTTCTTCCGGAGCTAACAAATCAACATCTTTGGAACAGAAGAGCTCGGACACACGGACACAGGTCCGGCAGCGCGTGCCCGGGGGAGTGCTCTCTCGTCCGTCCCGACAGTTTGCGCGTGGCCGTGGCCGGAGAAGTGAGTCTGCGCGGGCCGTGCGCGCGGCCCAACCGCGTTTGGCAAAAAAAAAAAAAAAAAAAAAAAAAAAGTCCCGGGACGTCCCGAGTCTCTGCGGCAACGCGCGTGAGGCTCCGTCGGTATGACGTCAGGAATAATCCTTGATTGTCTTCACAGTGTACGGCCACGCGCTGCGCTTGTCCGCTCAGGCCATGACGTGGTCACCGCGCGTGCACGTGTCCGCTCAGGCCATGAGGTGGTCACCGCGCGTGCACGTGTCCGCTCAGGCCTCTATGGGGCTGGACACCATGCTGTTGGGCGTGTCCGGCAGCTGCGACGACATGGACGCCACCTCGCTGCCCGTCGAGTTGGAACCGGGGCCTCCCTCCGAGAAGCTGACCTGCGGAGACCGAAAGGAGGTGAGTGAGGCCAGGAGAGAGTGAGCGACCCCCCGGAGCGGATCTGCCGTCACTGCGGGAGGCACAGTGAAAGCCTAAGCCACTGCACTTTTGGCGTGGATATCAGAAACTCCTGTGACAGGATGTGCGCAAATAAAAACAGAGGCGCATGAGCCGCAGTGTGAGGAGCAGAGTCCGACTACTGTTCACATCAACAGAGCCTCATGTTCACATGTCTCCGTTTAAAATGTTTTAAGTGTTTTACTGAGACCCTGAGTAAGGAGCGTCTCTAAAACCTAAAGTCATTACACAGATGAGAATGTGCTGTCTCCTCCACTGAAGGACTCACACATATGGACATTATTAGTCAAGACATTCAATAAAACAATGTTTCCATGGGAAAGATTTCATATTGGACATGCAGAGTGTCTGGCCTTTGGAGCATAGTGTCTCTGCCTGTATAAGAGTGTGCACCTGTACAATATGTGTGCACGTGCATGCAGAGGAGCGTGCACATTCAGAGGAGCGTGCATGTGCAGAGGAGTGTGAACATGTTTCTCACCAGTTGCTGGAAGGCGGGCTGCTCCAGCTCGCTCTGCAGGGCGAACTCACTGAGGACCTTCCAGGGGGGCTGGTACGTCTGCACCTCCACAGGGTTGGCCTGCAGACCTCCGTCGTGGCGCTCCGGGCTGGCCGCCACCATAGGAGTCCCCGTCATACCCTGGATGTTCTGTGGGCACACGCAAAGTCAGGATGTGTTAGTGCGACCGAATGTACCCAGGGAGCAGTCCGACATGTGTGGATGGATGCTGTATGGGTGTCAGGTGGGTGTCTTACAGGTGCTGGGTGCTGTATTGTCTTGTCATTGGGTTGCTGCAGCTGTAGCTGCTTCATGTTGGGTGTTGTGTTGTGGGTGCTGTATGGGAGTCATGTATAAGTGCTATATGGGTGTCATATGGGTGTCATATGGGTGCTGTACCGTCTTGTCGTTGGGCTGCTGCTGCTGTAGCTGCTTCATGAGGATGCTTCTCTTCTTGTCTTTGCAGCGTTTGTTCTGGAACCACACGCGGATGACCCTGGGGCTGAGGCCGGTCATCTCCACCAGCTGCTCCTTCATGAGGGCGTCGGGTCGGGGGTTGGCGTTGTAGCACGTGCGCAGGGTGTGGAGCTGCTTCTCATTGAGCACCGTGCGCACTCGTGTGGTCTTCTCCGGCTGTTTGTGCACGTGAGGTCGGAGCGCAGGCTGACGCGCCGACACTGGCTCCGCTGTGGACCGCAACACAGTCACATAAACACACACAGGTACACACAGTTACACACACACAGGTACAGACTGCAGGTACACACAGACAGGCACACACACACGGACACACACACAAGTACAGACACACAAAGGTATAGACTGCAGGTGCACACATGGAGACACACACATGTACACACATGTACACACACAGGCAGACACACACACGGACAGACATACAGGTACACACACAAAAACACGTTCACACACACACGCATGCAGTTATAGACTGCAGATACACACAGGTACACACACACAGGTACACACACACAGGTACACACACAGGTACACACACACAGGTACACACACACAGGTACACACACAGGTACACACACAGGTACACACACACAGGTACACACACACAGGTACACACACAGGTACACTTGGCGCTGCACATGTGCTGCTCTGTCCTGGGCCTGTGTCTGTGTGAGCTACATGAGCCGATGGGTCAAACATGCAGCTTTTTGTCTCCATCATCACACACACACACAGCTCCTGCACTCACTTTTTTAAATATGATATAATATTTAAAAAATAGAAGTTTTTTTTTTTTTCTTTTTGTGACATTTTGTCACTAGAAGAATTAAAGTTAAAACTTTGTTATGGCACTTTGGGCAGCTGTAAAGTTTTGAAGAGTGCCCCTCCCACACACACACACACACACACACACACACACGCACACACGCGCACACGCACACACCTACCTGCCATCTGCAGTGGTCTAGCGGGGTGCAGCGGACTCAGGGGGTCCCCGGGGCCCAAGGTCGCGCGCTCCACCACATCATGGTCCGCGCGGCAGAACAGTCCGTCCTCACGCAAAGCGAACTCATCCCCGGGGATGAGCTGGCGACTGCACGCGACGCACCGGAAACACTCGATGTGGTAGACCTGCGCTCGTGCGCGCATCACGAAGTCGTTCTTACTGAAGCCGATGTTGCACTTGGCACATTTGACTCCGTACAGCCTGCGGACACACGCACATCCTCTGTCAGACCACAGCGCGCAAGAAACTGAAATACACGAAGAACAACTGCACAGTAAAGACAGAATCACATAAAATCATATGTACTGGCACGTGAGTGTCACAGGAGCGTGCGTGAGGGTCACGGCTGTGAAGACTTTTTAAAGACTCGGTGCTTTTTTCCAAATAAGGAATAAAAGATAGAATGAGCCTCGCGTGGGAGAACAAGATAACAGAGGCGCGTGGTGTCACTGACCAATCATTACCAGTCATCTTGGACGGGTCATGTCCCGGATATTGGTCTGGGTTCGGGATGCGGCTCGGGGTTCGGGACTGACGTCAGTGCCCTTTTTAATTCCATGGCACTATGGAGAATATCTATAGGTCTTTATATTATTCTATATTATTCTAGATGATTCTAGATAAATCTAGATGATTCTATACTGTGTCACTAAACACGTTAAACGCATGTTTGTCCTCGGGCTCCGGTGAGACTGTGGCTGAAGAGGACACCGCGCGGGCCTGTTCTAACACGCGCCTTCAAATGTAAATGTAAATGGAACATGTAAATGTCTTTGACTTGAGACAACACGAAGCCTCAGGAGAGGAGACAGTATCAAAACTATTAATAATTGTATTATTATATAATTTTTTTTAATAATATGTTTGATTCGTCACTTTGTTAGAATTAATAATTTTATTCTTTGCTCCAAAATGGTTCCACTTCCAAGACTTGTGTTTTTCTTATCTCTTCTTTTCGGAAAACATTTGTAAAATCACCTCTGGGAGATGTCGCTCTGTATTTCAGAAAATAACGGCAACTTTTTCTACCAGCTGTGCGCCGCACTTTGGAGATGCGTAAAGACGATCATTTCATCTTAATTAAACGAGCTCTGAATTAGATATTTTCATGATTACTATTATATTTGTTTTATTTAGACACAAAGTCGACGCTCTGAGGCAATCTGAACACGTCGTTTGTTGCTGAATTAGAAACTTGTTTCAAAGTGCTGTGCGTAAAGATGAGCGTGTCCACAAAATGCGCAGCCGATTCTCTTTTTGTCCTGGTTTTGTTTGGTTTAAGGTCAAACGTGCTCAAAAGTTTGACTGTATCCCGTTTGTAAATTTATTGGTTTTGAATTTCGCTCCAGGAGAATCTCACATCTGTTTACGAAGTGTGATGGTGCGTCACCGCTCAGGTCAGTCGCTGCCCGGAGACCGAGCTTTTGAAACGGTTTAATCCAAAGAAGCGCTGCTATTGTCCAGGTCCCGTGAGGAGCATTGCCCGGAGGAGGACGGAAAGAGCCAGGAAAAGGCTCAGTCAGCCGCGGGGATACCCACAGGCCCCAGGAAAAAACGGGCTTAGCCGGGAGACGCTCTCACTGAGTCGGAGAAAGCCTCACTCACCCCGGGGCATCGCCCTGCGCGCTCCGGGCTCGTACCTGATATAGTCCCGTTTACAGTAGGTCTTTCCGTCCCGCACAAAGCACGTGCACGACTCGTCCAGGTACTGGCTGCACTCCGCGCACTTGAGACAAGCCGCGTGCCACTCCAGGTCTGGGGACACGCGCAGGATGTACTGGTCGTGGATCTGGTTCCCGCAGCCCACGCACAGCGAGACGAGCCGCTTCTCTGCAACAAGACGCTCTCATTAGAGACAGTCACAATCACAGGGGTTTTTCCACCGTCCTGAAGCGGAACGATCCTTCAGTAAAGTTTCACTGCGCCAAGGCCTGAAGTGACAACATCCTACCGTTACTGCACCGAGCGCACTTCTGTCCAATCTCTTCCACCTAATATATAATAACAAGAGCCTAATTCATAATAATAATAATAATAATAATAATAATAATAATAATAATAATAATAATAATAATAATAATAATAATAATTGTTGTTGTTATTGTTGGAAAATTAGAAATAGTTGAATTTGTAAAATGAATGAATCCAGTGTGACTAGTTGACATTCATAATCGTGGTTCTTATTGTGTAACTCTACACAACACAACATTTAACACAAACACGCGGCTCTATAATATTATAATATCCATCATTTCATCCATAATTTCAGATCTATGAAGCTCACTCATGTTTATATGATGTTTTTTTTTTTTTTTTTTTTTTTTTTCTTTTTGTCCTGGGCACTGTTAGTGTCGATGCTCCAGGGAGCACAGGCCTGACAGGTGTCCGTTTTGCTCTTACTTTTCGGCGGGTCCCCCATGTCTCCCATGTCCGAGTCCCAGTCCGAGTCCAGGTCTGTGAAGAAGGCCGCGGTGAGGTCCACTGTCCCGGGCTGCTCTGCTCCTGGGTACTGGGTCCTGGTCCTGGGTCCTGGCGCGAGTCCGACTGCGGGTCCGACTGCGGGTCTCGCGGACAGTGCGTGAGTGCGCGCGCCAGTCTGCAGTGTGTGTGGAGTCCAGACGCTCGCGGCGCTTGGGGCTGACGCAGGACAACAGTACGTCATCTGCGCCCACAGCTGATTGGCTGCAGCAACGCACACACAAGCACGCGCCTGTGCATCTCCCTGGACTGTGTGAGAGGCTGCAGACTAAAGGAGACAGTTTTGCCCAAACGTGCACAGTCACGCTCGCGCGCGTCTGTCTGTGCGGGGACAGTCAGGTGGATGTGCACGTCCTGTCACGTATGGACACTGTGAGACCTACAGGCCTGGAGCAGAGACAGAGCGCAGACACGCCCTCTGGTGTCCACACACACCCACGCGCTCCATGAGGAGAGGACTGTCTGGACTCAGGAACACGGGGACACACACTAAGTCAACATAAATCTGTCTGCCACCTGTTAGTTTCTATGGAGATGTTATTGCTCTGCCTGGAATGTTCCACCATGTGGTGTTATCTTTACTCCACGACAGGTATTTGTACTGAAACAAACACAGGTTCAGACATCACTGTGAGCGCGGACAGCAGGAGTGGACCACGTGACTCTGTTGGTGGAGGGTTTGACACCGGCTCATCTCTGTGAAAGTTCACTGCTTTACCTGCATGTTCCACACTATGGCATTAAACTGAGCTAACGTGCTAATATGTCTATATACAGTCTGGTATAACGCACACTCAGAGTGTTAGTGTTCACTTACATTACTTGAGTAACTTTTGAAAAAAAACTGTGGTTTTCTAGCAACAGCATTTTACTCCTACTTGTGTATTATTTATTTAATAATAATAATAATAATAATAATAATAATAATAATAATAATATTATTATTATTATTATTATTATTATTATTATTATTATTATTATTATTATTTGAAGTAACAGTACTCTTACTTGGGCAAAAGTTGTGCTTTGTTTTCCCACTCTGATTGAGTCTTAAGTGAAAAAAGCTTTTTGTGACCATGTGAAATGATTTAAACGTTTGTGTTTTCTTGCAGCTCCTTCAGATCTGATTTATGTCTCATTTTTTGTGTCTGTCCTTTGAAAACAGCAGATTTTGTGACTTATTTCATGTATTGTCCTTCACATGACATTTAATTCGCATTATAAATCATTATAAATTGTTATCTCTCCACAGTTGCACAAGAGGAGGGCTGTTGGAGTACTACACTTGAGTAGTACTTTTTCTAAATATTTTTTTTTTAACTTTCTTAGATCATACTTTGTTCTTCCACTTGAGTAATATTATTTTGAAGTAACTTGAGTAAAAACATTGGTTACTCTACCCTCTGTATATCTAAGAATACATCAAACTTCTATTTGGCTTTTTTGGACCCTGGAGACAGTTTACAAACAGAGAAAGTGACTGGAGATAAGACGAGCTGGTGCACATCCTGACTTTGAGTGTGTGAGTGACAGGCCTGAGTGTCCAGAGTCCGGCCCTCTGCGGCAGCATTGGGGCCCCTGGGAGCCCCACCACCATATGGACCAGCCTGACCCTCCAGATGACAGGGGGAGGCCGGGGGAGGCAGGAGCAGAGCCGCCATCACCTGACACGGGCTGACAGATGGTGCAGTGGGACGGAGATGGTGCATCCAGATTGAGATGCTCTGAGCTCTGAGGAGGCCTGGTGGAGGTGTTCTGAGGAGGCCTGGTGGAGGTGTTCTGAAGAGGCCCTATAATTTCCCTTGTGGATCAATAAAGTTTGTCCAAGTTTAAAAAGAAATCTAAAGTGTTCTGAGGAGGCCTCATGGAGGTGGTCAGAAGGGGTCTGGTGAGGATTGGAGGAGGAGGGTTAGAGGAGAAGTGTTGGAGGAGGAGGTGGGATGGAGGAGGAGGGTTGGAGGAGGAGAAGGTGGAGGAGGTGGAGGAGGTGGAGGAGGGGATTTGGGGAGGAGGAGGAGGAGGTTTGGAGGAAGTGGGATGGAGAAGGGGGTTTGGAGGAGGAGGAGGTGGGCTGGAGGAGGAGGAGGAGGAGGAGGGTCAGACAGCTGCAGCTCTGGGACATGACCGCAGGGAAAATGTCAGAACATATAGAGCTCATTCTCTGATTTCAAACAACAATCTATAATTCATCTGAGTGTGGCCTGCACAGCTGCTACTGCAGTACAGAACTACTGCAGTACAGGACTACTGCAGTACATGGTCCATGGGCATATACTAGTCTTTGTGCTCTTGTACTTGTTGGGACTTTTTAGTACCTGCTCATATGAGCAGTTGTCTCTGATATTGAATACTTCTGACAATGTTAATTCATTGATCATTGCATTTATACAGCACCTTTCAAGACTCCCAAAGTACTTTAGAGTTCATTGTTCATTTACTCTACACTTAGTGGTGGTAAGCTACGATTGTAGCCACCGCTGCCCTGGGGCAGACTGATGGAAGCGGGGCTGCCAATCTGTGCCATCGGTCATTCCGTCCACCACCAACACACACACACACACACACACACCACTTTCTTACTAGGCAATGTGGGTAAAGTGTCTTGCCATGGAAATATAGATTTGAGTATTTCAATACACTCGTCTCAGACAGTGCACTAGTTGTGAGAGGAGCAGGTGGGTTAGGATGAGGAGTCTGTCGGTCTGACTCTTTCTGTCTCTTCTCTGCTCATCTGTCAGAGGAAGTCCAAATAACACTGTGCACACAGGGACTGGTCACACTGCACAGAGTCTGTGAGCCCTTCCTCCTCCCACTGTGTGTGTTTCACATGCGTGAGTGTGTGTTTCACATGTGTGAGTGTGTGTTTCACATGTGAGTGTGTGTTTCACACGTGAGTGTGTGTTTGACATTGGGGTGTGTGTTTCACATGTGAGTGTGTGTTCCACATGTGTGAGTGTGTGTTTCAGATGTGAGTGTGTGTTTCACATCTGAGTGTGTGTTTTATATGTGTGAGTGTGTGTTTCACATGTGAGTATGTTTCACATGTGTGTGTGAGTGCGTTTCACATGTGTGAGTGTGTTTCATATGTGTGAGTGTGTTTTTCACATGTGTGAGTGTGTGTTTCACATGTGAGTATGTTTCACATGCGTGAGTGTGTGTTTCACATGTGTGTGTGTGTTTCACATGTGTGAGTGTGTGTTTCACATGTGTGTGTGTGTGTTTCACATGTGTGTGTGTTTCACATGTGTGAGTGTGTGTTTCACAGGTGTGAGTGTGTTTCATATGTGTAAGTGTGTGTTTCACATGTGTGAGTGTGTGTTTCACATGTGTGACTGTGTGTTTCACATGTCTGTGAGTGTGTTTCACATGTATGCGAGTGTGTTCCACATGTGTGAGTGTGTTTCACATGTGTGAATGTGTGTTTCACATGTGTGAGTGTGTGTTTCACATGCATGAGTGTGTGTTTCACATGTGTGAGTGTGTGTTTCACATGTGTGAGTGTGTGTTTCACATGTGTGAGTGTGTTTCACATGTGTGAGTGTGTGTTCACATGAGTGTGTGTTTCACATGCATGAGTGTGTGTTCCACATGTGTGAGTGTGTGTTTCACATGTGTGAGTGTGTGTTTCACATGTGTGAGTGTGTGTTTCACATGTGTGAGTGTGTGTTTCACATGCATGAGTGTGTGTTTCACATGTGTGAGTGTGTTTCACATGTGTGAGTGTGTGTTTCACATGTGTGAGTGTGTTTCACATGCATGAGTGTGTGTTTCACATGCATGAGTGTGTGTTTCACATGTGTGAGTGTGTTTCACATGTGTGAGTGTGTTTCACATGTGTGAGTGTGTGTTTCACATGTGTGAGTGTGTTTCACATGCATGTGTGTGTTTCACATGTGTGAGTGCGTGTTTCACATGCATGAGTGTGTATTTCACATGTGTGAGTGTGTGTTTCACATGCGTGAGTGTGTGTTTCACATGCGTGAGTGTGTGTTTCACATGCGTGAGTGTGTGTTTCACATGCGTGAGTGTGTTTCACATGTGTGAGTGTGTTTCACATGTGTGAGTGTGTTTCACATGTGTGAGTGTGTGTTTCACATGTGTGAGTGTGTGTTTCACATGTGTGAGTGTGTTTCACATGTGTGACTGTGTGTTTCACATGTGTGTGAGTGTGTTCCACATGTGAGTGTGTTTCACATGTGTGAGTGTGTGTTTCACATGTGTGAGTGTGTTTCACATGTGTGAGTGTGTTTCACATGTGTGAGTGTGTTTCACATGTGTGAGTGTGTGTTTCACATGTGTGTGAGTGTGTTCCACATGTGAGTGTGTTGTGTGTGTTCACATGTGTGACATGTGTGTGTGTTTCACATGTGTGAGTGTGTTTCACATGTGTGTGTGACATGTGAGTGTGTGTTTCACATGTGTGAGTGTGTGTTTCACATGTGCGAGTGTGTGTTTCACATGTGTGAGTGTGTGTTTCACATGTGTGTGTGTGTGTTTCACATGTGTGAGTGTGTTTCACATGTGTGAGTGTGTTTCACATGTGTGAGTGTGTGTTTCACATGTGCGAGTGTGTTCCACATGTGAGTGTGTTTCACATGTGTGAGTGTGTGTTTCACATGTGTGAGTGTGTGTTTCATGTTGAGTGTGTTTCACATGTGAGTGTGTTTCACATGCGTGAGTGTGTGTTTCACATGTGTGTGAGTGTGTTCACATGTGTTCACATGTGTGAGTGTGTTTCACATGTGTGAGTGTGTGTTTCACATGTGCGAGTGTGTTCCACATGTGCGAGTGTGTTTCACATGTGTGAGTGTGTGTTTCACATGTGTGAGTGTGTGTTCCACATGTGTAAGTGTGTGTTCCACATGTGTGAGTGTGTGTTTCACATGTGTGAGTGTGTGTTTCACATGTGAGTGTGTGTTCCACATGTGTGAGTGTGTGTTTCACATGTGT